TTACTTAACTTCTTTGAGCCTTAGTTTCCTTATCTGTAAAATGGAGGTAACGTTAGTTACTTCATAGGATTAGTAAAAGACTTACTTAGGTATAAAAGCATGTAACAAAGTGGACATTTATAGTGCTTTTAAATATAGAGTGAAGCCAAAACATTTAAAAATTAAGTAGGTAGTGTTGTTTGCATGGAGTTGTTCCCAGCCTGGCAGTTATAATAGGTCTCTGGAAATGGCTAGGTCAGGAGTATTCTTTGGAAGTGTCTAGTGGTCATGGGATTATTTATGACTTGTGTAAAGTTGAAACAACTAGAATACCAGATTGGGGAGAAAAAGAAATAGAAAAATCACCAACTTTGTTTTTGCAGAAGTCCATAAAGTACTCTCTGATAATAATGATGGTAAAAACTAATAATCTGGAGGCCGGCCCTGTGGCCAAGTGGTTAAGTTTGTGCCCTCTGCTTCAGCAGCCCAGGGTTTTGCCAGTTCGGATCCTGGGCATGGACATGGCACTGCTCATCAATCCATGCTGAGGTGGCATCCCACATAGCAAAACTGGAAGGACCTGCAACCAGAATATATAACTATGTACTGTGGGCCTGAGGGGGAGAAGAAGAAAAAGGAAAAAAAAAAGATTGGTAACAGATGTTAGCTCAGGTGCTGATCAAAAAGAAAAACCATTAATAATTTATATAATGCTTTTATAAGCTCTAAAGTTTTTCACATAATTCTTTAAAATTTTATCTCTAATATTTTGTGAGTACCTTTATTATACTAATATTAAGGAAGAGTAGAAGAAAACTCAAGGTTTACCAACATTTTGGAGGTTACATAGCTTAACTAATAGTGAGAATGGAAATTCATATTAAGTTTTCAACTTTAAATCTTATGCTCCTTCTATTTCAATATGCTGTTCCCTTGATAGCAATTGCATTTCTGAGGCACGTTTTTATTTCAGAATCTGTAGGAATGGGGCCCAGGTATATGTAATTTTTTTTCCCCTGTATTAAGACAGAATGCATACCCATGTAATTCTAATGCCCATCTCTGGTTGAAAATCATTGCTCTCTTCTGGGTTTAATTCTTCTTTTTCTGTTTCAGTACATCTAAATTAATTCATAGACCATATGAATAAAACAGAATTAGACTGATAAGCAATATACTGATTTAACTTTTACTGTTCCAGATGTTTAGGCAGGATATCAACAACACTTTTGAAAAAGCAACACAAGTGAAGTTTCTGTTCACAATGTCAGATGTGTCTCCGTTGATCAGAGCTTGTGGAGAGGGGGAATCCAGACTAGCCAACCAGGGTAGTTAAATCTATGAGCATTCTCTTCTCTGCTTCTCTAGTATCAATTTTGGCTACTTAGTAGTCTTCCCTCATTGCATTCCAGTCCTAAAGTGTGGACCCCTTATTGCCTGTAGATAGTATCTTCATAAATCTTTTCAATTAATTGGCTAAAGATTTTTAATAATCTTTCCCCATCTGTCTTGAAGATGCTTCAGTGCCCTGAATTTAGTGGTATTTTAGGCCTTATTTAATTCTGAATTACTAAATTGTAATTAATTACACCTTACTAAGCTCAAAACTTTCCTTTGAATGAAAAGACATTGTCATAATAGGGTCGGAGAGGGAAATACTCTACCAAACCCCAGGGTTGCAAAAATTAATCATATTGCATAGTGAATTTTCAAAAATGAAAAATACTTTCAAAGATCTATTGGAAATAAGACTTTCTAATTTGAAAGTTAAGCATTTGCTATTTGAGACAGTAACTGAGGTTTTGCCATGAGAGTGAACTGTTTTTTAATTCCGTTGCTCATCAAAATGCACTTGGGCAGTGGCTATGTGTTAACATTAGCTTTTAATTTTCTGAGTAGAGATCATTTCACTCAAAGCTATTTACAGTGGACATTGGACTGCTTCTGCATTGAAATTAATGTGTTTGGCTTGTTCTTGTATATAGGTGTACCTTCTTAACATAGAAAATACAGTGCTGATTATTTTTTATTGTTAGGGCTTAGGGAGCTTATGATTAAAATGACATTCTAGAGTAAACTAAAAAGATTTTTTAACTTAATACCTGCAAAGGATAACATTACATACTTAAAAAATATATCATTCTGTTAATTATATGCAGGTTGGATTTGTCTTTGTTGTACTGTAAATAAATTTTCTTATAAATAGGATAAAACCTAGGCCTTTTAAGATATTAAAATTTTCCCAACTCAAAGATTTTTAAAAATCTTTTGTAATAAAGAAATGAGGCTTGGTAATCATGAGTCAGCATAAAAGTATTTTAAGACAGTTATCTTTCTGTGAGCAATGCATTTTGAAGTGTGTACTTAATGGATTTCTACTTATTTTCATTTGGTATTGAGAATCAGTTACATAGACTTACATGGCAAAAATGTGGCAATACTTTGTCTTTTTTTCTAAAAGCTTATCTATCTCATTTTCTTAATTTATGATAATTGAGATTTTGTAGTTCATTTAGACTTAAATCTAGATGCATTGTTAACGTATTCCAAAAGATAGAAAATGTGATACCCTATTCCATCAATTCTAAGACACTTCTTTTTCTTACTTTAAAAGCTCTGAAAAATGAGACATGTCTTAAAATTGATTTGTGTCATAGTTTAATGGAAGCACTCTTCTTGGTGGTATATAACACTATGGTTCATCTTATAATCATTGATGTCTTAGGCTTGATAAAAAGTGATAGTTGATTTTTTGGAGTTTGTTGTGGAACTTAGATTCATTATTATGGTGTGGTATATTTTTGTGGTGAAAAAAATCTTAAATAGTGAGAATATGCCATAATATTTGGAATTAGAAACCTTTACTAAAATCTTTTAGTGCTTCCTTCAGATCTTTTTCTTTTTGTTCTCACTGCTGTCATCCTAGTGTCAAATGGCAAAACTAGAACAATTTAGTAACAAGTTTGATGTCCTTTATTCAAGGGAAAACAGTCCATGGATTGGGGCAGTTCAGTGCCTAACAAGCACTTCCAAGAAATTTGGGCAAGAGCAGGTTTTACAGAATGTTAGAAGAGGCTACGTGGAAATAAGTCGTGATTGGCTAGGAGGGTGGGGGTTTCCTTATAAGGCCAGCGGGTCCTTTTTCTAGGGTAAGGTCAGCTAGTTAGAGCAGAGTTGGAGGGTTGTGATTGGTGCATATTTGGTTTCCTTGACAGTGACATGTTTCCCATAAGTGTCCGCTGATTTAGGTTTAGATTTGTGATGTGGGCAGGGCCACTGGGGTGGCCTGCATTTTGTGGGTCTCCATATACTAATTAACTTTATCATTAGTTAGGTGCTTTACATTAAACTGATTCCTTGTCTGTGGAAAGCTGTTCAGCACGGTAAGGGAAAAATGGAGATCAAGAGAAGGAGGAAAGACTTTGGGTTGCTGGGGGGGGCGGGGGGGATGGGGTGGAGTCAGGGTAGTGGGTGGGACCTCCAGGATCAAGAAAAGAAAAATGAGGAAAGGACACTTGAGGAGGATAGTTAATAAGCATCATTTTCCATTCACCCAGCTTTACTTATCCAGAAATCTTTTTTTGATTAAGTCTCTGATTGTGATATATTAGCTTGTGAGCTAGCTACCCAGTAGTTAGTTAAAATCACCTCAGCCATAGTCCCTAGATTCTGAAAGTAGAAGCCCTTCTTGCCAAGGCATCTCGTTTTTCTGCGGAAGTTGCCCACTTGCCCCCTGAAGCCTTGCGGGTAAATCATCTGCTGGTACTTTCCCTTCTATAGACTGAACAAGTCTGTGTTTCCTCTTAATGTGCTGGCTCAAAATGAGTAACTCAAGGGGGAACTACTTCTTATGGAATGAATTTTTCTACAAGGAACTATTATAGATATATGTACAATTAAATCTGTTGGTTTTTATAGGAGGTGTGGTACTACCAGACACACTTAATTTAAGGAAACTTCCCTACCTTGCTCTTCCAGCATTTAGGTGTAGATTTGTGCAGTTTTCCCCTCTAGCTTATTTGATTTTTATTTCCAAGAACAGTAATTTATTTATTTGTGGTGTAAATTCATATTGCACACTCCTGCTTTAAACTTTTCATTCTCTAAACTTATTGACAAAGTATACTCCTCAACAGTTTCTCCATACTATACTCCTCAGTAATGGCACGTTTTAGTTATTCCTCATTTAAAAAGAGTCATAAAGTATATCCAGCTAACATATTCTATTTTCGGCAAGGTCCTTTTAAAATTTAGCATTTATAAAATATAACAAATTAAATTTTCAGTATAAGACAAGTTGAGAGAACTTTTTATTCCAAAAGAAATGTTTGGTTTAGAACGGATGTTACCATAGTGGCATTTACATAGTGTTTAAAGACCTGCAGGGCCCCTGGGAGCCACTCTCGCTGCCGCCTGGGGTGGGCTTTGCATTGTCCTGGAAAAGATTAAGAATTGTTGCATTCAGTGTCTGAAATCCTCACTTCCAAAATTTCTTCAGAATCTACGTAAAAGCTTTGATCTACCTTTGCATTTTCTTGAGTTCAGCAGATTTTATTAAAAATCCTATATTCAGGGTAATTTCTTTAACTTATCCAATTTCATTATTTTAGAATTTTAAAAATTATAATACCATTTTCATGTCTTTTCAGCCACATTACACTCTAAACTTTTTTGAACTATCTTGGGCACCAGCTTAATATTGATTAGTAAAAGAAGGAAAATGAATTCTAAAATACAAATAACTGACTTGACTGGTAAAGTTTTATAGCAAAATCCTTTGCAGTTTGAGGAATTCTGTACTGTTCTTGCTTACTGTAATGCCTCAATGAAATGGAAACGAGAGAGACTGTCTATAAGTAAAGGTAAATGTTATTCACTGATTTATGAACAGTATTTCAAATATGGATGCTGAGTTTTATGTATTTCTGACCAAATATGCCAGACACCACTCTTTATAAATTAGCATTGATGTAATTCTTCTTGCAGTTTTATTGTCCTGAATTCATTTTCTCTTTCCTCAGAGGATGTGCTGAGTAAAGATGCTGGGGAATGTGCAATATGCCTTGAAGAACTGCAGCAGGGGGATACTATAGCACGACTGCCGTGTCTGTGCATATATCACAAAGGGTAAGTTTATGTTCACCAGGTTACCAAGTTGATACGAGAGTAAAAGGTCTTTCTCAAAGTTTCAGACACTGTAGTTAGGGCTGAAAAGGTTTTTTCTTCATTGAAACTTCCTCACCTCATTTCTTAAAAGGTAATGGTCTTTTTTCCCTGCAGGAACCAAGATTTAAGCCCACATCTGTTTTTATTCAAAAATCTGCCATGTGTTAAGCGTTTGCTATGACCCCAGGTATTGTCCATAGCTTCTTAAATAGGTTATCTCATGTAAGCGTTGCAACGATCTCATTTACAACTGAGGAAATAAGCTGAGGGACTATAGGAAATCTCCCTAAGGTCACGAGGCTAGTAAATGGAAGAGCTGAGATTCCAGCCATGTCTGACCAGAGCCTATCTGGTTTCATAAAGTATTTATTCTTGGTTTTACAGCAACACAGGAAAAATTATATGTAAAAAAATTATTTAAGAAAAAAAGAGAACAGAAAACCATAACTTTCAAGCGAGTAAAAGGAATAAGGTGGAATTTTATTTAAAGGCAGGGGGTGGAGATGGGGGGAAGCATAGAGGAAACAGTAAGTAGTACAAAATAAAAAGGAAAAAATAAATCCAATATCAGTAATTATAATAAAGCTAAATAGAAGAAACTCACCAGTTGAAAACAGATTGAAAGATTGGGATGTGCTGTTGATAAGCAACACACTTAAACATAAGGATATAGAAAAATATGAAAGTAAGAGGATAGAAAACTATATCCAGGCAAATATTCACTGAAAGAAAACCAACAAAGCTAAATTAATATTGGACAAAATAAACTTTATAGCAAAAGTATTATTAATATAATGATGATAAAAGTGTATAAAATACAATTTTTTGTGTACCTAAGAACATAGTCGCATTATTTTTATACAGGTCAGAAAAAATTGACACATCTGTCATAATGGGAAATTTCAACCCACCTATTGAGTCAAACAGACACACACAAAATGAGTTAAGACCTAGAACAATTGAGCAATATATAGTTAACAAGTTTGATCCAATGAGTGTGTGTGTATCTGCACCCAGCAATTAGTGCATTTTCTTTTCAAGCACACATGAAGTATGATAGAAATTGATTGTGTACTTTGCCAATAAAGCAAGTCATAGCAACCTACAAAGAATTAGTACCACACAGAAAGCCTTCGTCTGATCATTGTTAAACATCAGTAATAGAAGATAAATAATCTTCACATATACTTTTAAGTAACTTGTGGATCAAAGCAGAAATCATAATGGAACTTAGAAAATAGTTGGAACTGAATAATAGTGAAAACCTTTTTGACATTTTTCTAGAGGGGAGTGAAAAGAAAGACTGAAAATCAATAGCCAGCTTCTTAAGAAATTAGAAAAATGACAGCAGAATAAACACAAAATAGGAGGAAGAAAATAATAAAAGTCAGAGAAGAAAATAATGAAATTAAAAATGACACACTAGAGTAGAGACCAACAAAGCCAAAAGTTGGTTCTTTGAAAGGGCTAATAAAATAGATAAGCCTCTGGCAAGGCTGTCTCTGGATGGAAAAAATAAATAGTATAGGAAAGAAAAGGGACACGTAACTTCAGACATGGCAGAAATGAAAAATAATCAGAAAATTCTCTGAAAAATTTTATACTCTTCAATTAAAAAATCAAAACAAAATGAGGGGTGGTGCTCAGCCCCAGTGGCCTAGTGGTTAAATTCATTGTGCTCTGCTTCAGTGGCCCAGGTTCGGTTCCTGGCTGTGCACCTACACTGCTCTGTTAGTGGCCATGCTGTGCTGGCAGCCCACATACTAAAAAATAGAGGAAGATCGGCACGGATATTAGCTCAGGGTGAATCTTCCTCAGCAAAAAAACAAAAAAAGCACCCAATGGGACCGGCCCAGTGGCACAGCCGTTAAGTGCGCACATTCTGCTTCGGCAGCCTGGGGTTCGCAGGTTTGGATCCCAGGTGCAGACATGGCACCACTTGGCAAGCCATGCTGTGGTAGGTGTCCCACTTATAAAGTGGAGGAAGATGGGCACAGATGTTAGCTCTGGGCCAGTCTTCCTCAGGAAAAAGAGGAGGATTGGTAGCAGATGTTAGCTCAGGGCTAATCTTCCTCAAAAAAACAAAGAACACCCAAAAATCAAAATGGGCAGTTTTTAAAAACTATATTATTATAAAAATGATTCAAAAAGAAATAGAAAATCTCAGTCAACTAATAACTAGTTATTAATACTAACCCTGAGGGGAAAAATACCCTAAAAACAGGCCTACAAAGACAGTTTGGTAACAAATTCTACCAGACATCCAAAGAATACCATGTTAACATTCATAAACTGCACAAAAAGTATAAAAAGATGGACGGTTCTCCCACGTATTTTATGGGGATAGTATAAACTTGCTACCAAAATTAGACAAGGACAGTCTAAGAAAGAAAATTAGAAGGCACTCTCATTTAAGAACATAAATGCAAAAATCCAAAAATGTTAGCAAACCAAATTCATCAATATATATCTAAAATATGATAATGCCTCATGAGCAAATTGGATTTACGTTAGGAGTGCAAAGACACTATGAGATTAGAAAATTGTTTTGTGTAATTCATGACATTGACTAAGGAGAAATACCTTATTAGGTTAATAAAAGTGAGAAAACTTTCAGTAAAATTCTATACTTATGTATTAATGATTTTAAAACAAAAGCAAAGAATAAATATTAGATAAGTTATGAAAATTAATAAGAATTTAGCAAGGTTGCCAGATATGAGCTCAACATATGAAAATCAGTTACATTCATATCTCAGTAAGAAAAATAACTTTTTTTTTAGAATAATAACATTAACAGCAACAGAAACTACAATGGCAATAAGTATATTAAGAATAAATCCTACAAAAGATACTTAAAACTTCACTGAAAGATAGTATAGAAGATGTAAAATAAATGTGGACGTATACCATGTTGTGGAAAGGACGACTCAGTGTCATAAAGATGTCACTTCATCCCACATTAATCTGTATGGTTAATACTATCCTGATCAAATCTCAATTAGGTTTTCTTTTCTTTTCCTCCCCAAAACCCCAGGACATAGTCGTATATCCTTGCAGGTCCCTTCCTAGAACAGTGTTCTATGCTGTGTTCAATAAATAGATGTTGCCAACTGACAACCCCATTGTAACGTAAGATTTGTTTTTTTTCAGCCAGATGCACCACATCTGCATATCTAGTTCTTCTTTGTGGGATGCTGCCACAGCGTGGCCTCCTGAGTGGTGTGTAGATCTGCACCCTGGGTCTGAACTGGCAATCCCCTGGCTGCCAAAGCAGAGGACGCGAACTTAACCACTCGGCCATGGGGCCAGCCCCTCAACTAGTTTTTTCATGTAACTCAATAAGTTGATTCTAAAATATTCATGGGCCAAAGAGTGAAGAGCCAAGAACAGTCAAGACACTCATGAAGGAGAAAAACTATGCTGCTGGGGACTTGTCTTATACAAATTCATGATAAGACGTAATTAAAACAGTATGGAAAGGACATGGGCCAGTGGGACAGAAAAGAGTCCATAAACACTCATGCATATATGGAGGGATAGCATGACACTGGAGTTAAGAGCATAGACTCTTGGGAGTTGACTCCCAAGATTCAAATTCCAGCCCCTCCACTAATTCTCTGTGTGATGTTGGTCAAGTTAGTTTTTCTCTCCCTCAATCTGTAAAATGAGGCAATAGTACCAACTTCATAGGGTTGTTGTGAGGTTTAAGTGAGTTAAATATTAGAAAGTGCCAGCACATAATAGATGCTGTATGTTTCTTAAATGAATAAATTTGCCAGCAGTGGTATTACAGTATAGTGGAGAAAGAATGAACTATTCAATGAATACTACTAGGATCGGTTGGTTATTGATATGGAAAAACAGTTGAATCCCTATCTTACATTTGAAATAAGAATCGATTCCAGATTCACTAAATAGCTGTCTATGGAAACCCAAATCTAAAGTGTTGGAAAGAGTATAGAGAAAGGTTCTTGACCTCTTGGTAAGGAATCATTTTTTGCAGAACATACCCTTCTGCAAAATAAAAATTTAAAAGAAAAGTTGATAAATTCAACTATTTTAAAATTTGAAAGTTTTTAGCATCATGATAGTGTGAAAAAGTAAAAAGCTGAGAGTGTTTTTCAATACACATTACAACAAAGTTTTGATATCTGAAGCAATACTCTCCTTCAGCGACTTTCTGTAATGCACTTAGCTCAGTGCAGTTGGTAGATGGAAGAATGATGACAATATGATGACATTATCCTACTGGTTCATAATGTTTCTCAGTACTTTAATGTTTTGCTCCATCAAATAAAAGCAGATGAGAGTGTGTGGAAGCACACCATGGAAGAATGTGGATAAAGGGTACCCATTCAGCAGATGAGAGTGTGTGGAAGCACACCATGGAAGAATGTGGGTAAAGGGCACCCATTCACCAGATGAGAGTGTGTGGGAGCACACCATGGAAGAATGTGGGTAAAGGGCACCCATTCAGCAGATGAGAGTGTGTGGAAGCACACCATGGAAGAATGTGGGTAAAGGGCACCCATTCACCAGATGAGAGTGTGTGGAAGCACACCATGGAAGAATGTGGGTAAAGGGCACCCATTCAGCAGATGAGAGTGTGTGGAAGCACACCATGGAAGAATGTGGGTAAAGGGCACCCATTCACCAGATGAGAGTGTGTGGAAGCACACCATGGAAGAATGTGGGTAAAGGGCACCCATTCACCAGATGAGAGTGTGTGGAAGCACACCATGGAAGAATGTGGGTAAAGGGCACCCATTCACCAGATGTTCTTATACCCAGTTCGCTTAGATCACAGCTTTATTTTGAAAGTGCTTGCTTACTTCGTAGTTCGCAAATTTTGTGCATTGATTTTTGTCTGCCTGACCCAGCAATATCAATCCTTCCTTAATCTTCTTTCTGTCAAGCTAACTTCACCGTTTTTTTAAAAACATCCTATATTTACAGTGGTATCTTATTTATTTGGAATGAACACATCTTTGTTCTGGTTACAAGGTTGTATTATGTGAGTGGTCTGCCTTTAATCTGTTTTTTTCCCCATAAGCCCAGATTAGTGTACAGTTCTGTAGAAAGCAAGGTTCATCAAAAACATGTAATATTATAGCTGAAATATTTGAATAATAACTCGTACAAATCTATAAGAAAAAGACATATCAAAGAAAATTTAGGAAAATTGTTAATAGTCAATTCAGGAAAAAGGAACTCCAAATGGCTAATAAACATACAATTTTAAGTTGGTATACTTGGCAGATAGCTCTGTAATAGCTAAGTGCTGTACATATCCTACAACTCAGTAATTCTACTCCTAGGTATATTTCCTGGAGGAATTCTTAATCTCTTGCTCTAGGACAGTGCTACTCATTGTGCAGGTCCAGGATGAGATAAAGGAGCTTGTGCCAGAATGTAAATATAATACTGTCTTCATTGAGAAAATCTTGAAATGATTAAAAAAAAAGTCAATCAGAATTGTGTTTAGGGCCACCCCTGGTGAACTAGTGGTTAAGTTTGGTGTGTTCTGCTTCAGTGGCCTGGGTTCAGTTCCCTGGGCACACACCTACACCACTCGTCTGTCAGTGGCCATGCTGTAAGTGGCAAGCAGCTCACTTACAAAAAAGAGGGGAAGATTGGCAGTGGATGTTAGCTCCAGGTGAATCTTCCTCAGCAAAAAAACAAACAAACCAATCCCCAAAACAGTGTGTTTAGTGGCAAAATTAACATGTATTCTGGCTCAAGCCCCTTATTGAGGACTAGTAAAAACCAGCTATGGATTAGCACTGTCTCTCTGGACCACACTTTGAGTAGCACTGTGCTGAGAGACACGTGTAAGAATGTTCATAGTATCATTAAGTGTCCATCAGTAAAAGAATGGCTACATAAATTGCAATATACTTATATAATGGAATGCTATACACAATGAAAATGTAAAAAACAGCCTTACTTATTAACGATTGCAAATCTCAAACAATTTGATTGAAAAAAGCAGTTAGAAAAAGCATACTTACCTTTAGGGTAGCATTTATGTAAAATTTAAAACATGGAAACGACACTATATGCACATATATAGTTACAGACCTAAGAATGAAAAGCACCAAATTGAGAATAATGATTTCCTACTGAAGTTGGGAGAAGGAAATATAGCATTTTAAATAACGTGGGTTGATAGCAATTTATTTGAGAAAGACCTGGGGTTTTAAATTATTACCATCTCAAATTGAGCCAAAATTACATGGTCGTAAAATAAGAAGTACACATTTTAGATCACATAGGTACTATTCAGAGGTACTGTGAGTTGTTAGCACATGTGGCATATTCTGTTCAGTTCTCAGTACTTTGTTTTAAGAAGTATTCTGGTAGACCAGGGGACCTCTAGAGCCGAGTGAGTAGGAGAAAGCAGCCTGAAAACAGTGTCATAAGCCAAATTGGGCATGTTTATTTAGACAACAGAAGTCTTAATGGCAACAGAAATTGTTTTAGATATTTGAAAGAATATCACGTAGATGAGATACTTTACTCTCTTCTATTACTTTTCCTTTCTCCATTATTTTTACCTACCAAATCATCCTGTCAGGATATGAGAATGATAAATATTAATCTTATCCTTCAGCGTATTAGCCAAGCCTTCTAGCTTTGTGGCATATGCAAATTTGACATGTGTCAACAATGAGGATGTTAAACAGTTTGAATCCTGCATGGGTAACTTCCTAGCTGTTGGTAAGTTACTTAACCTTTTCAAGGCCTTGAAATTATCATTTATCACAGTGAAATAGAACTTTCTGCAGTGATGGAAATGTTCTGTATCTGTGCTGATTAGAAGAGTAGCCACTAGCCATGTGGCTATTGAGCACTTAAAATGTGGCCAGTGTGACTGAGGAATTGCATTTTTCTTTTATTTAATCTTAATGAATTTAAGTTTAAATAGCCACATGTGACTTGTGGCTGCTGCATTGGACGGTGCACATCTACAACGAGGGTAATTATGTGCACCCTAATATTTAACTTCTAATAAAATCATGAAATACTTTATAAATGCAAATGGATGAAGGTGTATTTATTTGTGTATGTATATGTATTGCAGGATGGGATAGAATTAAAATAAGTATTCAGTACATATAAATATGGTCTTTTAAAATGTGATGCAATATTGTCAAAAATTAAAATTTAAAAGCTGTTTTTGATTATGTTGATAGGTAGCATGAACAGGTTGATATTTGCATAAATGATATCTATTTTGAAGAAAAATCTGCCTAGATCTGTCATTTAATTTTGAATATTGGTAAAGTGGTAGTTCTTTAGATTCTCTTAATAAAATGGTTGTTCTGTTTAAACTTTAAAGTACTTTATAGCATAATTTTGCAAATATTATTTCCTTGACTGCTTAGAATAATCAAAATGTAATAAACATATCTTTATCTTTTATCTATATATGCCAGATATGATCATTTAAAATATTGAATTTTTTTTCTGCAAAGATGTCTTAAAGTCAAGAAGTAAGCATTTTTATTATAGCTGTCATGATATAAATAATTAAATGTAAGTATTTCATTTTTTCTGGTTTTGTCTTTTTTAGCTGCATAGATGAATGGTTTGAAGTAAATAGATCTTGCCCTGAGCACCCTTCAGATTAAGCGTCAGCTTCTTGTTTTATAGGTAATTCTCCCTTTTTCTGTTTTAATTGCTTTTTAAACTGTCAGCTGAATCATACGTTCTCAACCACCATTTTTATTCATTCGTTTATTCATTGAGGGGTGTGTGTGTGTGTTCTGGACATTGTGTGAGGCTACTGTATAGAAAACTCACATTAAAAGATACATAAAAAACAACTTTCTTGATACCTGAGGAGACTCATATATTGAGTAACTTTTACCTTCCTGGTTCTTTCTTTCTTTCTTTATTTTGAGGAAGATGATTAGCTCTGAGCTAACATCTGCTACCAATCCTGTTTTTTGTTTTTTTTGTTTTTTTTTTTTACTGAGGAAGGCTGGCCCTGAGCTAATATCCATGCTCATCCTCCTCTACTTTATATGTGGGATACCTGCCACAGCATAGCTTGACACGGGTGCCATGTCTGCACCTGGGATCCGAACCGGTGAACCCCGGGCCGCTGAAGCGGAATGTTTGCACTTAACCACTGCACCACCAGGCCAGCCCCCCTGTGAAGTGAATTAAATGCCCTCATTTAGCTTTGGAAAAGTAGTTAACTTAATTGCTATCTTCTTATATATGAAAAGCGCTTTTTGAGAAGACTTCCAGAAATGACATAAAGCACTGGGTTTTACATCAAGGCAGAACATTTTAGCCAATCCTGGAACTGTTTCACAGGAGTTCGAGTCTCCATGTTCAGAGACTCGAGATAGTAGCGGACAACAATCTTTTCTGAATGGCTCAAGACTGAAGGCAGGGAACTAAAACAGATGATATCCTGAGGTCTACTCTTGTGTGTGTGTGTCCCCCCCCCCCCCCCCCCCCGACTTCCTTTTGTTTCAGTAACTTCTAGTCTTAAATTTGAGGTGTGGAGGTAATAAACACATTCAAGGAATTCTGTTGCACTTACTGAGGATAATTTCAGAGCAGCAGATTAGAATATGACAAAGGAGATTTGCGGTAGTTTATCAGCAGATATAAGCAATTGAAATAAGAGCGGCAACATTCAGACCTCTGTCATAAGAACAGGAGGGTTATGCATGTGAAATGTGAAAGCCTTGGTAAATTGTAGGGAGCTAAAAGACTGTCAGCTTTTGAACCTTTTACTGTGATATTATTCAGCTCATACCTTTACACACTTGAAGTAGAAGTTGGGATAAGATTGCTGTGTAAGAGAAGTGTGATGATGGAGTGGTATTTTGAGTATACGTGCATGTATGTTTTTATTTCACTGTGAAAAACGTTTTTTGAACAAGGGAATGCTTTGGAATGTCTTGAGCGTCGCCTTATGTATGAGTAATAAAGTAAAACTTTGGCTAAAATTAGAAGCATTTTAACAGATATATTAAAAACCAATGCTAATAAAATAAAATTCTTAGTATTTTACATGTGAGAGTAATATGTCTAAATCTTTCCCGTATAGGTAAAATTTGTCTTTTAGAGTCAATAAACTTTTTTCTGTGTGATGGAATTTTATAGCATAAAATTTTTTATTTCCTGGTCTAATCAGCTAAATTTTTCCTTTAATGTCACAATGATTTAATGCGATGTGTGGAACATGCATCTCATCTCATAGTCCATATGCAGGTCTCTTGGTCTTAAACAGCATTTCAGTTTTTTCACCTTATGTACCAGTGTTATCTTTTCATTTATTTTCTATGTACAACCTGAGTTTGGTGGCAACTGCCCTCAGAAATCTGAATCAATGGAGTCTGTCTCTGTGGTTCTTGAAGAGTCATTTTTACGAATGTATATACATGGCATATCTTGACTCTTCCACGTTTTGATTTTGTTTTGACTGCTCTTATTTGTCAAATGAGAAATTCCTCATAACCCTTTTATTGTCCCAGATTAAAAGTATATAGGTTTGAAGAGGAGTCAGTGTTGTTAAAGCATTAAAAAAAAAAAAAGACAACTTGTAGCAGCAAGCACAACATTTTTGATATTCTTCAGCAGAGGAATTTAATACTCAGTCCAAAATAGAGATAAATGAATATCTAAAGTCTTAATTAATTAGGAAATTGTTTACTATTTCAGTTTGAGGTTTTTGGTTATTTGGGGAGAGATTAATAAGTTGTGTGTAGGAGTGTGTTTTCTGACTCTGGTTTAGTTTTTATTGTAGAGGGCAAATGACTGTTATGTAGTGGCTATTTTTTGACTATTTTAAGCTTTAATTGGTCCTCCTGTGTCTTTGATCTGATCTTTTGCGGAACACTAAGTTTATGAGTTTTTAGAATAGTAAATAAGTGTATGAAAATATATAGTAACTAAAGCAGTGTTCATGGGGAAATGGATGTTATGTTTTGATTTGTATTACTTTTATGAACTACTGCTTAAACTAAATTTGTCTACTTTTACACAAGTTTTCTTGTCTTTTCAAGATGCTTGAAAAACCAAGAGGATATGAGGATCTGTCTCTGGAAAAACAAAAACAAAAACACAGGCATACGCAGCCAGAAATTTGAGTTCTGTGAGACTCGGAAATGCAGAGATGGACAATCATACAGGAAAAAATCCTGCTGAAGAGAGGACAATTGCTGCAGGACTCAGTGTACCAAACATGCGTGTAAAGGACACACAGGGATTTTGGAAATGCTGCACATCCCTTAATAGTTATCTACGTAGGTAATACTGATAAACATTTTGTATTCAGACGCCAAAGTTAACTGATTTAAAAGTTGATTTACTTTTTATTAAGTTCTCTAGAGCTGCGCAACTCGTTGTGTTTTAATTGGTTTTGTTTTTTAGTTTGGGGTCTCTTTATTTTCCCCCAACATGATGTTTCTGCCTTCATCTATTCTTAAATAATTTAACAACACATGATTTACTTCTTATAAAGTCTTAAATGTGAAACCAAGAAATGTAATCAAGCAGTAAACATTCTCTGAATGTAGACCGTGATCTCAAGTTCTGCGATTCTTTTCCCCAAGAGTGGAAAATAGACTTCTACATAGGAAAGCTAAAATATGTTAATATTTTAAATTAAAGGCTTAACATTATGAGAATGCAGTCCAAAGAATAAATCAAGTTACATAATTACATTTGAATTAATTAAATCTACGATTGTCTACTGAATTGCAGTTTATGAAATACATTGTTTGCTCTTATAACTGCTGAACAGTTAATCGGCAGTGAATCATCTTGCTATGCAACTTTTAAAAAAAAAGAATTACCAATTTTAAGTGCTGCCAGCTACAGTAACTTTGTTTTAACGGGTATTTTTGTTTGTTTTTTTCATGTAATTATTTTATTGTGCTTTGCATCTCCAGGCAGTTTTCCCACATTTGGGTGAAATGTTTAGCAGGTCATAAACTTAATAACTTATGAAAAGGGTAAAATAAAATTTTCTTGAGTGGAACTTGGAATAATTTGAGGGACATTTTATATACTTTTAAAAATCAGAATTTAATTGGGATGCCAGATTTATAGCAATTTGCATCTTTAATTTTCCAGATAATCTGGAGGTTAGTGTTTGATAAATGATTTTTTAAAGCAAATATGAAGATTTTGTTAATTTATAATTTATTAATGTGTTATTACTGTAATTGAAGATGTTATAGAGAGTTTTAAATTCAGTCTTGTTTAGAAAGAAATGTATTAAGCAAAATTATGTGAATAAATATTCCCACAAAATTCATCTGAATGGTTAAAAATACTGGAAGAGAGCTATCAGGGCTATAGTAGTGAAATTTTTTTTTTTTTTTTAATATCGCAAATACCAGTAAGTAGATTTCATGTTTTCAACACGGGGAAAATGTTATCAGTGAACATTTAAGCAGTGCACTTTACTCAATGTAATTGAAAGTTGCACAGTACTGTTTCCTTGTTTTAAGCTTTCTTTATACTCTAATGTATTTAAGTATATGCTTTTCTATTTAATGCTGCTACCCTTATTCTTCTCAAATTTTTTCCCTTCAAGCTTTCTTTATACTCTAATGTATTTAAGTATATGCTTTTCTATTTAATGCTGCTACCCTTATTCTTCTCAAATTTTTTCCCTTCTCTATTGCTTCTGTTTCATATTTCTTAAAAGGGCACATACAGGAGCAACTGCTGCTACCCAGAAAAATTTGTGTATTATAAACAATTAAAAGAGTTTATAATTGCTTTCTGTGTGATTCTAGACTGGATAACATTTTCCCTAAAGTTATGCTGTGAAATGCCTTTTGTTATGCTGCAATTGATAAAAGAATCCAAAACCTCCACGTGACAGCTTGACAGCACAGTTTCCTAGGTGCTTTTTAAACCAGTTTTGGAAAATATTCTTCCCTCAAGGAAAATATTCTTTCTTTAGACTTTTTTCTGTTATCATGATATCTTAATATGAATCCATTTTATTCACATTTTCAATTTTGTAAGCTTTTGCACATACACACACACACACCAGGAAAAACCTCTTAGAATGTGAATAATTCATTTTCTTTCTATTACTGCTATATTGTTATGGTAAGAATTACTTTGTTGTCTTCCATTCTTAAAGGAAAAGATTTACTATAGTTGTGGTAGTTAACTGTTAATATTCTCCTGGAAGTTGATTTTCTGATATAGTTTTCTCATTGACTTTTTAAAACTTAGTGGCTGAAGTTCTCTTTTCCTTCCTTATCCTGTACCATACTCTCACAGTGTGGTTCACTTGGCCTCTGTTTGTTGTAAGGTTCTGTGCTGCAGCTGGTACAATAGAAGCTCCTGTGGTTTAAAAGCAAGTTCAGTGTTTGTCAGTGTCAAGTGCTACTTGATTATTACATTTGTCTAGAACAGTATTTACTTAAATCTGTTTATAGCAATCCATTTTTGTTAAAATTTACAAAAATTAGCAATTTTTACTTTAAATTCAGTTTCCACCAGTATCTTCCCAAAAAGAATTTAGAAATTGAAAAGAAAATGTTTTTAAAGCCCAGATGCTCCAGTGTTTATTCAAAGCCAGAGTTGCCATTCTGGAAAATATTATAAGTAATATTTTACACAGTATCACTTATAATATTTGTAAATCTGTATGTGGACACTGACTAAGTAGAACATAAAATCACATTAGATATTTACATATGTAGCTGAAACTGCTGACAACTAAATATTATGGAGACAGATATTGAAAGCCTAGGTTACCAAGTTGGTTATAACTTTCTAGAATCTTTGTAAATACCTATTCTCAAATAAGATCACAGTTGCGTATATAGAAAGCAATATGTTCTGAAGTTTCACTTTAGTGCCACTCTTTTCTTCATGATGGGTTTATTGCCAATTTTGACTCATCTTACTTTGATCTGGCTTTTTTTTTTTTTTTGCCAGAATGTATGAGAGATAGTAAAATTATTCTTTCTTTTGGCTCTTTGCCAGAGAAATAGACTAAGCATAGTCTTAATCTGTGTTTTTCAGATCTGATTATAAATCAGATACAGATTGTCTAAGAGCAGTGTTTGTGATTGAAATATAAATAATGTTTCTGTTACTGAAGTTGTTTTGTGGTAGTGGAAACAACATTGAAAAAGTCGTGTTGTTGACTGTTGCATACTATACAAGTTTTAATTTCTTAGTGTAAGTCTTATATTTCATTTAAATGTTACACAGTTATTTCAGTTCTCACCCACTAAACACTTTACTAGAATGTAGCCCAAAAATGCCTGAGAAGCACCCTCAGTATATTTGTAGTAAGTATTTTGAAAAGATTTCAGTTTAAATGAGTTAGTGAAAATGGAAGATTCCTTTTCAAAGCTTATTTTACTTTCTAAATTTGGTTATAGTGAAGTTTCAGAGAATCATTTAAATTAACATAGCAAGATATAGGGATATATCTTTAAATGAAAAAGATTGTAAATTCAATGTAAATATTATTACCTAATTTTATTTATTAACTTGGAGAGTTGAAGAAGGGAAATTTCCTAACAATGAGCCACATTTGAAGAAAGCATGAAACTCCTTTTTTAAAATTCAAGAATAATTGAATTTACCATCTGACTGACATCCATATTACTGCATTGATAATAATATCCAAATCATCTTATTCTTTCACAGAGGAAGTTTCCATATAAATCAGATTATTGGGAACTTTGTAAAACTACATAGAGGTAAATGTTGCTTATTAAATACGAGTACAGTTTGTTAGTTGGGCCATTTTCTTGCAGTTTGGTTTATCCTGAGGTGAGCTAAATACATATTGACAGTGGGTGGTTAAATGTGAAGTGTCCCTTGTTCTTGTATGGATATTTTCTAAGTTAGGAAAAAAAACTATAGCATGCCAACATTTTGTCTTTGGCCCTTTCCACCTTTTTCTGAAGTATGTAACTTCTGATTTTTTTCTTTGCTATATTGTGATTAACAGTAGTTAAATTAATCTGTTTTACTGTCTACTTTTCTTCTCTACCCAGATCTTTTCATTCTGAAATTAAATTGCTACTTGGCTTTCTTTAGAGGAAATTGCTACTTGGTATACTCCTAATAGTGATTCTTATTCTGTAACAGCTGATAAAACTTTTTTGGTAGTAACTTACCCAGACAGCATTTTAAGTACCATATTCTGTGAATGCTGTGCTTAAGCTAGGAAACAGAATGTTCTTTTTAAATCACAGAATTCCTGTGTTGAATGGGAGATACCCAGTCTTCTAAGTCAGCTGATTCTTTATGGAAAGTAAAAGGCATTGAAGAAAACCAGATAGGTTAATATTTAGTTTTAGTTGAAAGTGCAACATTACTATACTTAAGGGAGTTGGTATATTTTCAGATATTTAAGCTATCACTAATTTTAGACCAGTGGCTAATAATAAGATGGATTGTTGGTTGCTTACTTAGAGAGAGACAAAGAGCAGCATGGCATGAACTCACATCCCGGAAATAAGTGAAATTTTAAAAAATGATACTGTGCTATCTCTTAACCAAAGTTGTGCTTCTTAGCTCTGCCCTGGACTGTAAGGCACCTGTCAGGACTCCAAGTCTTAGAACTGGAAGTGACTGATTTCTCCTATTACTGAATTCTCATGCCTTCCTTTTTTGATTTGGTGTACTGAGGTTGATAGGTACTGATGATTTATGTTTACAAACTTAACAGTTCTGACGGACCCTGCTACCAGTGAACCAGATTCCAGCATTTGGAAAAGGTTTCATTATTAGTCAATAGCGTTTTGAGCACCTATATGCAAATAATACAGTTAGCAGACCCTAGAGGCAGATACAAAAGAGATTTTGGAATTTGATGATGATAATTGATCTTTATTTCAGCAATCCATTATATTTTATTTCTTTGCAATGACTATTTGAGTTTCATTGTTTGAAAATCAAGATAATAATAGATATTTATCTCTATTGCTTTGTTCATGATTTCTACAACTCTTCTGTAATACCTCTTAATTTCCTCTATTAGAAAGTATTTTCCTGTTAAATAAGGTATCAAAAGCGTCAATCACAAGAAATATAGAAAATGTATTAAGAGCAACTTGTATGTTCTAAACTAGAATGGAACAACTCATTATTGATATTTTAATAAATAAGACTTTCAAATGATCTTGCCAAATTATCCCATTATTTAGAAGTAGAAAATAAGAGAAGAATGCTTTCAAGGATATTTGTCATATCCACCCTTATGTCTAGAAGTTGACAGTGCATCACAATAAAACAGACTTATCTGAATGCTGAAAGGTTACCATGAATTAACTGATGTCATGATTTATTTATTTTTGTATACCCATTACCACAAAATTGAATCCAAAAGTATTAGTTAAAATTCTGTAATAGCTTAAGAAATGACTGTAGTCTTAATGCACAAAGAGGTCTTTCTTCATTACCTTAACCATAAGTAAAGATGTACTTCCAAATTTTTAATGTAAAATCTATTTGTAAATTTTGTCATTGAAATATGATTGGAGAGCTATTACATTTTGGGAAGGGATGATCTGTCAGTGTACAGTCGTAACTTTTAAAATTTGGATTGTATTTAGTAGCATTCTATTATGTTTTAAAAAGGGGAGTATTTGTTCTTTTGAAGCACAATTTTCATGATGTAAGAGGTATTGAGTTTTGTAACATAGTGGTTAAGAACATGGGTTCTGGAGCCAGACTGCTTAGTTTTGCCATCTCCATGACATTGGGTGAGATACTTAACTGCTCTGTGCCTCACCTTTGCCTATAAAAAGAGGAAATACTGCTGTCTACCTCAAGGTTTTGTGAGAATTAAGTGGGAAGGTACATGTATGCACAAAGCGCATAGTAGGCACTTAATGATGCTAGCGGTTATTAGAAATAAAAATATTTGTGCCCATCTGAGAATAAATAATTTTTGTTATTCTCTCCAGTCATGAGGTGTAAGAGTAATGTCTTAGACCTTAACTGATGTGTTTAAGAAACCTAAGTATAATGGAGGACATTGTGGATTCTGATCTTCCCTGTTGCTAAAATCTAGAGATTTTACTATTTCAGCAGTTATATTAGGCACTACTTGATTCTGTGGATTGTTAGGGACCAAGAATATAGAAATCAAAGATAGGTGACCTCCAGGAACTTATTCTTTAGTGAGTGAGGCAAATGAGTAAATAAGCATATAATAGAGAGTAATAATTGCTATAATAGACATATACACAGAGTGTTGTGGAGGTAGCGAGGAAGATGATTAGACTCAGACTAGGCAAGAGAATGGTTAAACTAAGTCTTTAAGAACAACTAGATCATAGCTCTAGGGGATATGGATAAAAGGACTTGTGGAATGGGAAGTTTGGGAAGGATATTCCCAAGGCAGAAAGTATAGCACATACAAGCATGACACTCTTGGAGAGTTGCCGTGTCTGGAGAGGTAAGCAGGTGACAAATCTTGAAGGGATGTATGTGCCAAACTGTGACTGAAGGATTTTAAACACGAAAAAGATAATCAGATATACCCTTCAGATTAGAGAGGAATGAAGCCAGAAGCAGAGAGGCCTGTTAGAAAATTTATAGTAATTCAGGGGGCTGGCCCCGGGGCTGAGTGGTTAAGTTTGCGCGCTCTGCTGCAGCGGCCCAGTGTTTCCCTGGTTCGGATCCTGGGCGTGGACATGGCACCGCTCATCCGCTCATCAGGCCATGTTGAGGCAGCGTCCCACATGCCACAACTAGAGGTACTCACAACTAGAATATACAACTATGTACTGGGGGGATTTGGGGGAAGATAAAGCAGAAAAAAAAAAGATTGCCAACAGTTGTTAGCTCACATGCCAATCTTAAAAAAGGAAAAAAAATTTATAGTAATTCAGAGAAGATGATGAAGGGCAAAACTAAAGCATTGGCAATAGGAAAAGTAAAATGGAAGACTTTAAAGATTTGGAGACTGGAAGTAACTCATCTTGGTAGTTGTTTAGATGCAAGAGATGAAAGACAAGACCAGGACAACTCCCAGTCATTCTTTTTCCACATCTAGAAAGGATGAATCTTAAGGACAGAATAAGTCTACCTAGGGAAAGCTGATTATCCTAGAAGTATCTGCTGGAGAAGAGATAAAGAACATCAATTCTAACCTAAGGAATTGGATCTTAAATGGGAGGTAGAGCCTTGAGAGAGAAGCCAGAACAGGAATATTTGGGAAGTTGTGAGAAAGCAAAGCGTGTGTGTGTGTGTGTGTGTGGCTCTTAGGGTTCAGCAGGTGTCTAGAGACAATAGTTGCCAACACTATTAGAAGAGTCAATAAGTACGTAACAAGTGGGGTACACTGAGCTAGTTTCACGACATCTAGCTTGGTTGAGTTGGATCTCTCCCAGCACTCTCCCGCACATCCCTCCTTAAGCTCAGATGCCTGTTAGAGTAGGGCCACACTTTCCCAGGTTTGCTTAGTGAAAGGCTGAGACGCACTCTGAAACTTTCTTTAGGTTTTTTTCTCTTTGGTTTATTTGTCCCATACCCTTTCCATTAAACTAGTCTTCTCAGACTTTGACAACAGGAGTAAGCTGCTGTTGAAGGCAGAGTCTTTGTAGAAGTAGACATCCAGGAAAGGTGAATCCTGGTGTCCTGATGGATGCTGCTGTTGAGATGGGTCGGTTTGGCTAGGCAAGAGGAGGACAGAAGAGGTTTATTAGTTTCTAGAAGGCTATGTGTTACCACTGGCTGGCTGTGTCATGATCTTCTTTGTTTAGCGAAGGACAGAAAATGAAGACTGGTAAACTTAGATTTAGTCCCTGGAGAAGCAGCAGAAATCTTGGGATGTCCTTGTATTAGATTAAGTCAAGGAGTCAGTTCTCCTCATAGATTCCTTAATCTAATATGGTGTGTCCATGGGAACACCAATTCAGGCTTTCACACGTTTCTCCAAATTGGTTCAAAGGCACACCTGTAGATAACTGGAAACTTCCTAGACCAAGAGTTCCTGCAAAGCAAGGCCTGTGAGAATGATAGAAACTTAACACCTGAAAGGGAATTGTCTTAAAGTATCAACAACCCTTATATTCATAAATGTCGTTGCATGATTTAAGATTTGCTTTCCTACATAAAATATGGTAAAAATAATTTTTCTGCAATACCTTAATGATGCTGTAATTAAAAGACAAAGTTGTTAAATTTTGCCATATAGTGCCTTATTCCTATGGTTCTTTTCCATCAACTTATGAATTCAATACTCACTATTTTATGAGATTTAAGAAGTGCATGACCAAAAAATATCTTCCAAACAAAGTCAGTTTGAGATTTAAGTGCTTTCTGATAGACTTGATCATTTAATCGCTGGGTAACTGAAAACAAACTGTACAGTGTTAGCAATGTAAATTTCTATTTCAGGAAAATATCAAATAACTATATATCATGAACCAGTCAAAGGGTCTCACTAATAACTGGAATGTAATTAAATCTATAAATGTTAATGGCATTCATTATCCAAATATTTGGAGGATATCCATCTAGGCAGTCAGACTAGATACAGTTCATCCATTGTTGGAATTCAAACATTGCAAAGGCTGAAGGCCTTCCTAGAGTATTTTAAGATTTTATTTTTCCTTTTTCTCCCCAAAGCCCTCCGGTACAGAGTTGTGTATTTTTGGTTGTGGGTCCCTCTAGTTGTGGCATGTGGGATGCCGCCTCAGCATGACTTGATGAGCGGCGCCATGTCTGCGCCCAGGATTTGAACCGACGAAACCCTAGGCTGCCGAAGTGGAGCACACAAACTTAACCACTCGGCCACGGGACCAGCCCCCTCCTAGAGTGTTTAAATATCTAAACTATTGTCATTTTTGCATGTAATCAGTGTAGAAATTATCAGATATTTTGCATCCTTTTTTTTCCCAGTCTTGGAAATCTGATGTGTATTTTATATTTGTAGCACTTCTCTGTGTTTAGAACTAGCCATATTTTAAGAGATCAAGAGCCACATGTGACTAGTGGCTGCCATATTTGACACACAAGTTTACGTGTCTCTGGGAGGTTGGTTTTCCATTCCTATCTATCCTTACCTGAAACTAATTCCTACTTTCTGAAGACCTTGCCTTCAAAGTTAATTTACGCACTATGCATGAGCAGAGCTGGTCCTATGTTGTTACTAGATTGAGACAGAGTTTCCTAATTTTTTCAATGAAAAGGGATGGAAATACCTTAAAAGGTTGATGGTCTATTGAATCTTCTTCATGTGCTTTTAGAGATGTCACAGGCTTTCCTTGTGATTACAGTGTTTTGGTGAGGACACACAGGCTCTGAATACCTGGTCAGTTTTATAGTTAGGAGTTGGTGTCTTTTTGAAGTTTTAGCCAAATGACCAGCAGGAATTGTAAACAGTCCTGATGTGTTGCTCTGGTCTGAGTTGTCCCCTCTGTTGAACTTTATCGGGGCCATTTCGTGAGTTTCAGGCCTTCCAGCAGTAGTTGAGTTTTTACCACATCCATGCCTAAACTGCTAAATGTGTCCACCAGACCCTCATTCACAAAACTGAGACTCTGCAAAATCCACCTGGAGAGTCACCAGTGGTCAAGTCGAAGCTGTCTTCAGTAAGATGCTCCCTAGTTTGTGTAAGGGTTCTGTGCTCACGTGCCTCATTAAAAGGAGTCAGGGGATGGGATTGCCAGGGAGTTGGTCTACCAGGATGGGCTACACCACGGAAAGATGGATATTACTCTCTTCTGCTTCGGGATCCCCATAAGCCAATGATTCTCAACACTTGGCTCAACATTAGATCAACTCAGAAGGTTGGAAGGGAAGGCAGAGGCAGGGGTTTTGTTTGTTTTGCTGAGAAAAGTCTGCTCTGAGCTAACTTCTGTTGCCAATCTTCCTCTTGGTTTTTTTTTTTTTTTTAATGTGAGCCACCACCACAGCGTGGCCACTGACAGACAAAGGGTGGATGTGGTCCCGTGCCTGGGGACTGAACCTGGGCCACTGAAGCAGAGCATGCCAAACTTAACCATTAGGCCATCAGGCCACCAGGGCTGGCTCAAAGGCAGCTTTTTAAAGATAGTAAGGCCCTGACCCCACCCTAGAGATGCTGAGTTAATCGTTCTGATGTGAGTCTATTGTATAGCCAGTGTACAACCTATATCTGGGGTTTTCTCACATACCCCAAAATAGGG